TAGGTCAGCTCTTTACCATATATTTCAGCAAGTCTTAGAGAGCCTTACGTCATTAATTTCATTTGTAAGTATTAAAAATTCTGCACATACAGCAAGGGCACAAGAATTAGTGCAATAATTTCTAAAATAGATATTTGACTGTATGGGAAAGAAAGTCATCCTCAAGGTATGTGCACGCAACTGAACAACAAATATTAGGCTAATCCATATCTAAAACAGTACAATTTTCTTCTGTCATTTTTATAATTTCTGTAGCCCCATTCATCATACTATATATTCCTTCAAAATTTAGTTTATTAATATATTTATATTATTCTCATGTACTTTTAACATTTATTATTTAATCCTCTCCATATATAGATATCTATACATAGTCTTATTTATAGTGATAATAATATATTTTGAGTCATTATTATCTATTCTGTCTGTCATTTCTCTAAATTTTGGGCACAGACACTCGGTCTACAATGTCAAATGGGAATATTATCATGCCATAGAGAATAATCATTCACAATAGGTTTATTGTCAAATTGCTTTCCTGGGAATAGTCTCAGTTTAGTGCCACGAAAAACAATAGTTCCACTCACAAAACTGAAATTTGTCATTTAAGAAGGTTGTGATGGTCAAAAATATTATTTAACAAACTCCCCTGGCGTTTGTATATGACCCTTAGTTTCTTATATCAGAACAATAATATATTCACCTGACATGTAGATATATTTTTCACTCCACATATTTTGATTTTCTTTGCTAATTTTCTCCGACACTTTGATAAGGAGAAATTATTGTCTCTTGATTCTATATTTTAAAAGTTTCTAATTTTTTTTGAAATTGAACCCGAGGCTATTTTTCACTATAGATAAACCATTAGGAACATTTTATTTATCAGGAGAGACTGTGGTAGGGATGCTGAAGGCTGGATACATTGAGATCATGTTAGGAGCTCCTGTAAATCTCAAATGCTTTTATTGGGTAACTGATAGTTACCCAATACTCTTTCAAGTTTTGGTTTTATCTCCATTTCGTTGAAATATTTCTTTGATCTAATCTATTGTACCAGCTTATATCCTGATATATTTAGGATCCTCAATCATACCCTAGTGGTCACCTAAGTTTATACACAAAAGCAAGGGCATGTACTTTGTGAACTTGAGTGTCTGTCTTCTGTTTTATGCCACACATGATTGAAAGCAATAGTCCCCGAACCAGTGCTGGTTGTCAATATTCAATTATTAAAATAAATTTTGTTAGTTCTGCCCTGGCCAGGTGGCTCAGTTGATTGGAGCATCGTCCAATACACCAAAAAGTTGTGGGTTTGATTCCTGGTCAGGGCATATACCTAGGCTGCAGATTTGATCTCTGGTCAGATGCTAATGAGAGGCAACCGATCAATGTTTCTCACTTTCTCTTCCTCTCTCCCTCCTCTCTCCTCTCTCACCTTCTCTCTTCCCCTCTCTCTAAATCAATAAACATATCATCAGTTGAGGATTTAAAAACATCGTGTTAGTTTCACCACATAAACCTTACAATCTTTCAATATCAATAAAATGAGAAATATGAGCTCAAGGCATTTTTAAGAGTTTGTTTTAGTGGAAACCCCATATCTCTGTTTCTATATATGAAGCTGTTGATATTTAAAATTCTCTAGGGGAAGCTGTTGATTCAGGGAAATATATGTATAGAATATATAGTATTGATTTACCCTAATTTTCCCAAGTACTCTTGTTCGTCATAGGCTATCAAATCCTGCCTGTGTCAGAATCCTGGGAGTCATTGCAGTGTTCTCCTTCCCTCAGGAAAGCAAGGCCTGACTTCACTGGCCGACTTTTCTCCTTAGAGGGTGGAGGTGGGAGAGGGATTCTGTGTCCCTAAATTGTTTTTAATTTCCTTTTGTCTTAAAGGATCCTAAAATTTCTCTTCACTCTGTCTTTTCTCCTCCATTGTGGGGTTTCCAAAAAGCCTCTCTCCTTTCCCTTCTTTGTTGTTTTCAAACAGCTGTACTGAGACATAATTCGCCCACTCAAAGGGCACATTGAAATATTTTTGGTTATCATCACAGAGTTGTGTGACCATCACCACAATCTCATCTGAGAACGTTTTGTCCTTCAGAAAGAAGCCCTGTTCCCATACAGACACTCACATTCCCTGCCTCCTCGCTCCCCAGACCAGCAGATCACTAACTTACTTTCCACCCACATAGCAGTTCTGTTCTGGACATTTCATGTGCCCGGACTCACAGGAGATGTGATCTTCTGCAATCCTTCCAAGACCGCCTCCTCACATTCCTTGCACATTGGATAGTGTCTTTCCTACGGCAGTCACTCAGAGGCCAGAACACCTTTTTGTTATTTTTGGTTGTCACAGAATTACCTTTCCTTTCCCCGAAGGTTTGTGGTGGAAGCATGGACGATAATTTAGTGACATCTGCATTGTTTTTCTTGTTCATTTTCTAGGTGACTCGAAGTCAGATGTCACTGTCTTCTAATTGTGCCGAAGGTGTGGTCTTTGTGCAGTTTTGTTTGCTCGTTGTTTTGTTCTCTATTGCTTTTTGGAAGCAATGTTGGGAAGTTCTGATTGGCATTGCTGCTACTGCCTGGGGAACCCTTTTTCAGGTTCCAAATATTTGGGGCGCTGATAGTCAGAAGTTAATTTGTATTTTACTATATTACCAGTAAGGCTGACTTCAGGTTCTAACGTTCTTTATCTGCTTTTGCCAGATAAAGCCTAGCTCAATGAAATCCTTATCTCAAGAGATTGCATTTTTAGGCCATGACTCCATATTATTTTTGTGAGACATGTTTTGAAAGAACAATACTGAGTCTGACAGATTTTTCCTAAATCATCTTGTATCTCAGAAATCATCTTCCTACTGTAAAAAAAATTATTGTTCAGATTTAACACAAACAATTGTCTTAGAGGATTTTTATAATTGTAAAGATAATTGTGAAAGTAGGACATAACAAACAGTCTTTCCACAGAAGATAAATGTAACAATAATAGGTGGAAGGATACTAAATATATCCTAAAATTAAGGAGCAATAATTATTCTTATGTATTCATTAACATTGGCTTATTTTGTTATTTATGAATAGAATTTTCTATACGTTGTCATAGAATTAAACAATAAACTGCAAAAAACCTTGGCAATCATAAAGTCTAACTCCTTTAAAAAATAATAAAACCAATGAGTGTAAACAAATTTTCTAAGAACCACACAACTTCTTAGGGATAGAGCTGAATTTGGAACCCTGAATCAGTTAGCTTTGGCTGTGTAACAATCCACCCCCAACACAGTGGTCTATAATGACCCTTTACTTGGCTCATGATTCTGTGGGTTGGCAATTTGGACCCAGATCAGCTTAATGCATTTTCTGCTGGTCTTCTATCATGTATCCCACTCAAATGTTATGTTGACTAGAATCTGAATTATCTAAATGATCCCATTTCTATGTTTGGAGTTTGACAGACTCTTGGCCAGGGCCATAAGTGTACCTGGGCCACATGTCTCTCATCAACCAGCAGGCTAGCCTGGATGAGTTCATATGCTGACAATTGTAAGGTTCCCCGAGCAGGAGGAGTTGAAGCTGAAAGCCCTCATGAGACTTGTGTTTACACAGCTTCATTTCCACTGAGTCCTATTGGTCAAAGCAAGTCATGAAGCCAGGCCAGATGTGAGGGGTGGGGAAATAGATTCTACCTCTGCATGGAAGAACCTTCAAAGCATTGGAAACCCTCTTTCTTTTGTTTTCCCAATCTCACTCCACTTAGTGAACTTCCAGTCCATGGATCACTCAATACAGAATTTTTAGATAAGCAATTAGATAAGATAGTTTATCCCTCTACTTAACAGTAACTAATTTCCGTTAACGAAATGTAGTTGCCTCTATCCAAAAGGCGATGGATGCTTGAAATGGAGTTTGATGAATGAGTTCTCCAGACAACAATGTAAAATTGTATCCAGATATAAGGAACAAATACATGGGAAAGCAAAGAGTTTAAGAGAGAATGACAGGCTTTGGGTTAGTGAGAAAATCAACATGGCTTGTGGGTTAGATTAAGGGGTAGAGACTGGAGAAATGTGGTGGGGGGTGAGGCTGGAGGGGTCTTCTAATATCCAGCATGCCCTTCCATTCAAAACAGGGGCTCTGTTACCCAGTTTCATTACAGAATATGTTTTAGTTCCCACGAAGAAGCAGTAAGGTAGAGTTTTCATTTTGGCAAGGTTTTCTGCCTCCCCCCATTTCCCACTTCAACAGGAAGTCTGAACAAACACAAGTTCTGTGAACTGAAGGATACTGGTGTATAGCAGAGATTCTATGGAAATCCAGAGGACATCAAAACAAGGACATGATGGCAGCGTGAAGTTGAACTTTGGGACCAAGAAAGAGCCCAGTAGTCTGCATAGGTCATGTCATCAATGAGTCATAGATAAAAGTAACAGTCACAATTTCAGGAAATATGACATAAATCAGTCAGCCCACCAGATGGTTCTAGCCCAGTACTTCCTGTTTCATCATGAGCACAGGAAGTGAGACATCATGAGCCCTGCAGCTGGGAGACATCAGTGGAGTTGATAAACGCAGACAGCGGAAAAGGCCAAATCAATATGATCACAAAATTCTCTATCAATTTTTTGCACATTACTTATTACTGTACCTCAAATGGAAATAATCTTAGACTGTATTTGCAACCCTATAAAAATGGTATGAGCACATAACGGCTTTTCTAATTTTAATTTTTATTACTTATTTCTTAAGGATGATAAATTAAGGTAAGCAACATGAAGTGATACAGATAAATTGTTATTTTGTATTCTTTTGTTCAAGTGGAAACATAACAGCTTTCACTTATTCGTATATACCTCGTACATTGTTCTACTTCTCTAATTCAAAATCCGTCTAATATACACCATTCCACAGTCCCTACTTGTACGCTGTCCTGGGTTTTCAGTTGAACCCCTATTTACAAACCAAATGACCTGTTTGGCTTCTCTGTTTCAGAGGATCTCCTAATCTCCTTCACAGTGTCCATAGCAATCGGGCTTGTGATTGGAGGATTTATCTGGGCTCTGTTTGTGTGTCTGTCCCGAAGAAGGGCCAGTGCCCGCATCTCACACTGGAGTTCGAGTCGGCGATCTAGGTCCTCCTACACCCACGGCCTCAACAGGACTGGGTTCTACCGCCACAGTGGCTATGAGCGTCGGAGCAACCTCAGCCTGGCCAGTCTCACTTTCCAGCGACAAGCTTCTATGGAACAAGGAAATTCCTTTCCAAGAAAATCAAGTTTCAGGGCTTCAACTTTCCATCCATTTCTGCAAAGTCCACCACTTCCTGTGGACACGGACAGTCAGGTGATGACTCTCCCTTCTTCCACAACCTCTCCCACCATCAACACTTCTCACAGCCTGAGCCGCCCTGATTTCCACTGGTCCAGTAACAGCCTTCCAGTGGGTCTGTCACCGCTGTCCCCACCCACCTACGAGTCCATCATAAAGGCATTCCCAGATTTCTGAGCAGGGTGTTTTTGTCGTTAACTTGTTTCTTTCTTTCCTTGTCTTTTCGTGAAAGGAAATCATAAAAAGATGAAGCAGAATTTTGAGGACACGGCCCAAATGACCAATGAGTTTTCAAACTGAGAAATGCTCATGCGAGTTGGACATTACAATGTACATTTTCTTTGATGCTATTATTCCTTGTCTCACAGAGAAGTAATATTTTTCCAAATTGTTATATACTTATGTGTTTTGCATTCAATGTGAGGATTATTAAAGGTAATGATTCTAATCTAAGAATCAGCAGTAATATAGTATATACATCTTAGACTAAAATAAAACAAGGTATTAGTGGTTTTCAATTTCCATTCATTGTTCAATGTGATTACATAGGGAAAAAAATCAGTGTCACTTAAAATTTTTTCTAGCCTAAGGAATTGTAATTGTACTTTAGCTGGAATGAGAAGTAAACACTTTTACAATCTTGGATTTTTAATGAATTTTATGGGCATAAAATGATAGAATAGAAGATTCTAAAGTTTCTTGATTCCACTCAATCATGAAAAACATGGAAATCAAGCAAAGGAAGCTGAAGGCTGTGGGTATTATAGGATACTTCAATGTTGACCCTTTTTTGTGTGCTTTTCCTAAGAGTAGGTATCCACAGCATTGAGCCAGACTCCTTGGAATTATTCACATGATAATTTAACTTTCTTCGCTGTTGTAATTCTGTTTTTAGAAAAGCAACAACCACAAATCTAATTCATTTAACCTAAAAACAAATTTTAATACTGAGTTTACATTTTCCTAAGGAATAAATTTTATTTCTTAGGTTTAACTCTAACAATTGGGAACACACTTCACCTAGGGACCTTCTCCTATAACTTCATAGACAATAAGTAGGGGTCCATGGGGACAAAGTCTGTTATTGAAATAGATGTTACACCCATGAAGAATCCTCTTTCCTGGATTGACTCACCAGACATTCTCTCTTGTTTGTATCTCTGTGAATTTCAACCTCAGATTCTGTGAAGATCTTTATACAATGATTAAACCATGCCATAAGTCCTTGGTGCCGACAGTTATTTAAGTTCACTTCCACAGATGGCCACTCTCTTAAAGAAAGGTACATCCCCAAATGTGGGTATGAGAGAGCTCCAGTGACCGGATGCCTATGACTGCCCTTTGTCATTTAAGGACACGAGTTCACTGGATAATTACTCAAAAGGCCTGTGGTTTATTTCTGATACAGTGAATATTTAGCTTATGTTGCTGTTTGTTTATTCCTATGAACATCGGCATTTTCGGTGAAGAAAAATGTACTGTCATTTTAGTTTCTGCAAAGCAGCAGTCTCAGCTAATAGTATCTAAATATGGCTCAAGATTGTAATAATTTTTATATAATAACAGATTTTGTATAGCATTTAAAAATTTTTATTTAGCTTATATTTTTATTGTTACTTAAGGACACTTATTCTTGATGTGTGTAGATAGGTGCTCTTTAATGCAATATACGAGAGAGAGAGAAAGGAAGAAAGAAAGAAAGAAAGAAAGAAAGAAAGAAAGAAAGAAAGAAAGAGCTCGTAAGATACACTAAATTGTTCTAAGTTGTTTTTTTAACAAATTTAGCAACTATCATTTAGACACCTAAGTTTTCAAGGGTTTATTAACTTAGTAACAAAGCTACCTTGTTTGTATGTCATCCTTATTGTTTAACATGAGAAGTAAGAAAAGGTTATGTTTTTTATCCATGTTTTATATTGGGAGTAAAAACTGTTTTATATCTCTCAAATTAGAAAATAAAAGAAATCCTCTGGTGTATTTAACCATTTGGGAGAATTATCATCTCCCTCTCTAAATTATGAAACAATCAAAATCAGTGTCTTGTAAATAGTGTGCAATGTATGGAATGTGTAATTAAAGTAAAACCTGGAGACATTTTTAGTTGGATTTTTTTATTTGACATAAAAATTTTTAATTTAATTTTATGTTATAACATTAAACTGGCATTAATTTTAATTTATAGGTTATTTATTGACTAACTTGTGAATAGCTCCTATTTACTTTGGCATTTTAACCCAACCTATACCATTCTCTATCTATTCCTGAGACACAAACATTATTTTATATAAAAATCTAAAAAAAAAAAAAAAAAATGGTGACATTATCCATAAATGGAACAGGATTTTTAAATGAATTAATGCATATGGAAAATGTTATTTATTAAGAATCATTAGTTTAGATTTTTATCTCACTATAGATAAAGAAATAATTCTAGAATTAATTAACTTTTTTAGGAATAAACATTTTTATTAAGATATAATTGACATAAAATTATATTAGTTTCAGGTGTAAACATAGTGATATGTACAACAACAAAAAAATCAGGCCTTATTTTTTTTATTTTTTGTTCAGATAGAGTAGGAGGGAGAGAAAGAGAAACATCGATGTGAAAGAGACACATCGAGTGGCTGCCACCCGCATGACCCAACCAGGGTCGGGGACAAACTGCAACCGAGGTACGTGCCCTTAGCGGGAACTGAACCCGGGTCTCTCTGGACTGCAGGCCAATGCTCTAACCGCTGAGCCAAACTGGCCAGGGCAAAAATTATTTTATTTTTTTTATTTTTTATTTTTTTGTGCTTGTGGTACGTGCCCCCAGCGGGATCCGAACCCGGGAGTCTCTGGTCCGCAGGCCAACGCAAAAATCAGGCTTTAAAGGTAAGCTTGGTAAGAACAGAGAGCGAGAGGGCTGAAACGTCAATTGCATCATCGATTGTAAAGAGGTAGGAAGAAGTAGGGCTGGCAGCTGGTGAGTAATACATGACCAAATGGTTGAGAGAATCTCAGAGTAAAAGTATTTGGGGTATGATGGGAGCAGCCTAAGACGTTTTGTTCAAAGATGAAAAACAAATTGAGAGATAATAGTGACAAAATGCAGTGCAGACTTAATATTTACATAAAACTTTCATATGATCAACGGGAAAAATCATTACAAGAGAGAAATTAGGAAATTCACTGATGAAAAATGGAAGTAAAAAACATTCGAAGTTGGAAAGAACGCTCTATCCACGCCGAAAGTAAGGTAAACTGAAAGCTACATATTGAGAACCCAGGGAATAGCAGCAAGATATAGTGGACTTCTGATAAGATTGACAAGGGACATCAAGAACCACATGAACATTCCAGCTCAGGGACACAGCACGATACTGTAGCCAATCAGTTAAGAGGAGAAAACTCTAATAGGTAATGTGAATACCAAGTCTGGAGAGACAAGCACTGGAGACACGAGTGGGCTGCTCGAAGGATAAAACCCACCCTACTTCCATCACCGATCAGCAGATTTGAGCGCTCCAAGATAAATGATTTGCTCAGCAGTGCCATGTTTTCTCTAGCAAGTTTTCTATCAGAGACTGTTGAAGTTTGATGACAATCTTTCTTTATAGCTTCAGAGAAATCTATCTATCTATCTATATATATATATATATATATATCTATCTATCATATATATATGTATCTGTATAATTTGTTCTCCTACAAAACATCTTTATTGGATGTCAATTACCTGATACATGAAATAAGATTAGTAGAAAGTTCTATTGGTTCATTTGGGATTTTTCCTAACACATTCATGTCTTCAAACAATCAAGAATAAACTGTCTCAAAATTAAACAAAAAAAGAGCCCTAGCAACATATAAATGTAAAATGTAAATTTTTTGAGGATTATAAGTATTTATCCTGGGAAAGTAATTCTAGCTGTTATAAATAAAATTTCATATCATAACTCACTTCCTCAGGTGCCTGATGATTATTAAAGTAAAAACTCTACTGAATAGACCATGCACATCACAACCCCTACTCCCAAACCCCAATCCAGTTACAGCTTCATGGTACTAAGACTGAACATTTCACCTAGAGGTTTTCTAATCATTTCTTGATTGATGAAATGAGCTGGGATTTAAACTAACAGTCAGAGGGAGATGGGTTCAAATTTAAACTGCTCACTGTACTCCCAGAAAAATCAAACAAAATCTCTGAACTCTGACATTGGTCATACAGAAAAATCTGGTGATCTGTAACAAAGCAGGTATCAAACAGGAATTATTAATGATAAAACAGGAGCTAGAACCAGAGGTCATGGTAAAACAAAAGAAGAAATGGGTAGTATAAATTTGGCCAGGGTAAATAAACAAAGTGGGAGGAGAGAAAGAAAAACAGATTACCAGAAAGAAAAATACTGTTGGAGTGGGAAGACAGAGAAAATCGTCTGTTTTTTCCATAGCTATCTAGCTCTCTAGTTTCCAGCTCTTTTTGATTTAATTTTGTGCTTCTGAATTCCACTTACAGGTGACAAGTGTTTGTCTTGCTTGGCCAACACATACTTCCATTTTGCTTCCCTAACATTTAAATTTTTCTTAAGGGACAATTCTTCCACTTGTCACAGGCTTACGGTGATTCTCAGTCAAGTTCCCCCACCTGTCTCTATCCTCTCCTTCCTGATTATTAAAAAGGAGAAAATTTCCCCTTTTCAATCAATACTCCACATTGTGCTTTCAATTCCATTCCCTTTTTGCTTTCTTAATAATTTTACTGCTTTCGTATTATCCTTCTATCTTAAGTTGGGGCCCTTGAAAACATACGCTGAAATGGTGATTTGTATACAGATATTTTGATGGGGTGGAGAGCTCTCAGCAATGAATATCTGTGAATGAATGAACAGTATTGGGCAGAAGAAGAGGGTAAAATGAGTGGGATTTACAAAAGAGGCATCAGCCAGTCCTACAGAGAGAGCTGGGATGGCCCTTCAGAGTTGTCCCTAAATGAAGCAAAGGACCAGACAAGGGTTAAGGTTAGGGTTAGGGTTAGGGTTAGGGTTAGGGTTAGGGTTAGGGTTAGGGTTAAGGTTAGGACTGAGTGAGCTCTGAATTAGGTGATATCAACACATACCCTGAGTGTGGCTTTCAGAGAGCTGCCTATCAGGTCAAATAGTGACTATTCCCTGAGTATAGGAGCTTTTTAAATAAACTCTAAAGTGACAAACATTTTCTCCATAACCAAACTCTACTCTGACTCTCTTGAACTCTCTTCTCAAATAGGTCCTGACTTTTTAAGCACCCTGTTTTTCTCTGCAATGTCTTGTTTTAGCAAAAATCCTGCTAAGTACGTTTAACCATAGTGCTCCATCCTTGCTGTCTGATATCTAATCAAGTTCCTCACCCTCCACAGTATTCCCAGGTGATGGCTGATCACTCAATCCTCTTAGGCCAATTTAGTCAGAATCCCTCCTTACCCCAGATGTTTCCTCTAGTTATTGTCCCTCGACTGATACTCACTTTGGCTCTTGTCTATCTATTCTCCCTTTTCCTTATATTGTATTTAAAATTGAACCAGTTTCTACAATGAGGTCTCTTTTTACCTACTGCAGTTCTTTTTCTCAATAAGCTATGTTTTTACCACTCTAAGTACTATCCAGCTGTTTTTTGTTTGTTTGTTTGTTTGTTTGTTTTTCTCAACGTAACCCATTTTGACTTCTCCAGTGACTGTCAGGCTGTAGGTTTTCACAGATACTGGATTTACAAGGCTGTTGATTTTCAAGCTTACTTGGAGTTGCCAAGAAAGGCCTAAGAATAGGCAAGTTAAAATGCCACATGGCCCATTGTCCTTATCAAGATTTGTTTGTTCTCCTTGAACAAATGCTTCCTTGGTTGTTACAAGCCTTTGGTTAATTTTTAGAGTACTGAAAATATTATAATTTTCTGCCAGTGTTCTCATTGTTTTTATGAAGGAGGAAATTTCAGAGGTCTTTATTTCATCCCTCCGGCAGGACTTCTGCTTATGGACATCTTGGTATTTAACCAATCTTCTGTAAAAATCTACTGGCATAAAGTGCATAGTTCCTAAAAACTAGAATCAGGGGTCATCAGTAGTTCTTCACCAGAAGGCTGTAGTGATTTCTCCTGGTTGTGCTTTTCTGGTGATATGAAATGACAGGTGGGAGCCAAGACCATCCTTTGGAAGGAGTTCACTTATTTTAATGGCATATCCTTCCTTAACTGTGCATCTCTTGTGAGAACAGAACGTGTAATGCCTACTGAGGATTCAAAGACTGCCACATTATCTCTCCATTTAACAATCTGGGTCATATATTCCAAAGTTTTCATTCCTCAAACTCTCCAGAATAAATTGCCCGCCTTATTAAATCTATTTCTTCTAGACAAGTATAATTTATTGTTCAAAAAGGTCTCGGAGATGCTCATGAGTGGTAAACATCAAAATTAAATGCATTGCTTGGCATAATTTCAGTCTTTATTTAGACACTTCTATTCACCTGAGCGGTAGAAATAGGATAGGGGTCCTGTGTGTAATAACTTATTTGTCCTCTACCTTACCTCTAAGTACCTGCTTTTCCACAGTTCATTTCTCCTGAAATTCTCATTAGAGGAGGCACTTCAGTAACATTTCCCACATGCTTTGACATTTTTTGGGGAAAAAAATGTCTCATTCTGTTAGGTCAATTCCACCCCAAGGTATCTGCATAAGTGGCTTGGGTCTGCCTTTGACGTTATCTTCCTGAATGAACAGCGATTGCTCACTCGGGCACACTGTAGACACACAGTCTCATTGAGTCTTGTGCTATCTTTACCAAATCAAATCTGGAAAGTTCACTTGCAATTTACTGTATTGTTTTTGAGTCATCTTGACATTTTGACTTCATAAGTGTAAACTGAAAACTGGATTTACTGGAAATTTGTTTTTAAAAATAAAGCAACATTTGCCAGATCCCTGATCTACAGATGCTTTATAAAATTAGGCAGTTCTTATGAGACAGTGCTGCTGAAAGAAAGTTTTAAAAAAGAAATTTATTTCTGATATTTCTAAATCATATAAAAGAATAAGACTGTGTTCAATAGGAACAGAAAATTATAC